CCCTAAACTCTAGTTGTAGGTTTGTATTTTTAAAAACAATTATAAAAAGGCTTCAACTCACTTTGATCAGGGATTTGCCTCCCAGTGCATAATTGAAACTGACCTTGCTGGAAACCACAAACCACACCACTGGTGGCGACCGACCAACCGACCAACACAGCTAGGCGTGGTGTGGTGTGTCCCAGAAAGTCATAGGACTGAACCAAGGGCCTTCCTCTCTCTCTCTCTCTCTCCCCCTTCCCTCTCTCCCCCTCTCTCTCACTCTCTTTGGTCCTTCTGTCCCCGCAAACACCCTGACCTTGACAGACCCCCTAAACTTGGTTCCAAATATGCTCTACCACATGGAATACATCACAGACACCCTCCCTCTTCTATTCCAGCGATGGCTTCCACTTTGCTAAATACAGGGATCAATTCTGTGTTCTTAATTGACTCTCAGCAGCATTGGACACCATGGACTACTCCCTCCTCTTTGGTAAACTTCCATCTCTTGCCTCCCAAGACACCTCACTCACTCCCTTCAAGGAGCTCCTCCAGTCACATAGTTTTGAATTTCCTCTCCATGCCAACAACTCTACATATATATCTCCAGCATAGTTCTCTCTCCTGAGCTCCAATTTGCATTTCTTTTTTCCTTTTGTTAATTCTCAACTGAGGATATTTTTTCTTTCTTTCTCTGTTTTTGCTTTGTTTTGTAAAAAGAACATTTTATTGGGTAAATTATAGAGGTTGAAGAAGTAATTCCTAGAAAAAATGGGCTTAGGAAACAAGGTATAGAGGTAAAGGAAGGGCCCTTGGAGCTTGGGAGTGAGGAAGCTAATGGTAACGTGCCTGAGGTAGGGAGAAGGGAGGGGAAGAAAAAGGCAAGGTCATGTTCACCAGAGGGAGAGTGCACTGGGTTCTCCATCCTAAGGGTAAGGGCAGAGATTTTAGGAGAGGTCCCAGGGGAAGATCTCAATAGAATATTCAGCAATTTTCCAGGTGTGTCCTTTCAGGGTTGTGGTCTCCACGGATTGATTGGATGGCACCAGGGCAGGGGGTCATTATTCAAGGCAGCTGGTCCTGAGGTCAGCCATGGCTGGTTTTGTTGCTTAGCTGGGCTTAGAGCTGAAATACCCCTGAGGCCTAGATGTTATCTCTAAGGAGGAAAGGTCAGGGGGTCCAAAGGAAAGACCAGCCCTATGCTAGGGGTGGAAAAGTGGCCCTGGGGGCAAGGTCCCACTGTACAATTGATTGTCCATTGCTAGGCACCTGGGTCTTTTCACCCTGGTGACCTTCTGTACCTGGCCCATCATCCTTGCTCTGCTCATGTCTGTCTAACTGCCTACAACATCCCCTCCTCAAAGATCTTGGCTCTGAAATCTTTCCAAGAAAAGGGGTGCCGGGTCTCTTCTGTAGCTGCTTCCTGCTGAAATGGGGCAACATCTTTCTTCAGAGCCAAGAGGTCCTTGCTCTGTCAAAGGGACAATGAGGCCTGGGCACAGAAGGAGGTGGCGATGGTGTCTAGAGGTGGTATTCACTGAGTACAAGTGTGGCTTGTAACCTGGTGGGGACAAATTGTTATAAATCTTAATATTATTGGGGCAAAGCTAGAACAGCAGAGTTATGACAAATGGTCCAGTGGAAGGAAAAAGTTTTAGTTCTAATAATTCCAAATAAAAGGACAGGAGAAAACGGAAACATTAGTTTGGAGAGTTGTAGCCAAATATTTTAGAACATTAGCAAAATTCAGGATCCAGTTAACTCATAGGTGAAAAATAACACTTTGAAGATAACTAATTGAATTAGAGTCTAATATTCACAACTGTGTATTACAGAGTCTTCTGAAACAATTTCCCCCCCAAAATCACCCTCATTTTTATTAAAGAGCCAAATTAAGACCAATTTATTTACTGTATTAAGTCTAGTTTCAATTTGGGTTGATTGTTTATATGAAACACAATCAGAAATAGCAATTGATTGTATGGGCTCATTTAAAATCTGCTTTGCCTGGCCAGCATGGCTCAGTGGTTGAGTGTCAACCTATGAACCAGGAGGTCATGGTTCAATTCCCAGTCAGGGCACAGGCCCGGGTTGTGGGCTCAGTTTCTAGTGTGGGGCGTGCAGGAGGCAGCCGATCAGTGATTTTCTCTCATCATTGATGTTTCTCTCTCTCCGTCTCCCTTCCTCTCTGAAATAACTAAAAATGTTTTTAAGAAAAGAATTCATTAGCTTTATGCTGATATACCAAAATGAGGTTTATTCTCTTAACTTCATTTGTCCTTAAGTGTGGTCAACATATGGCACTAATTGGATTTCTACTTCTCCCGGTGTTGGCAAAAATAAGCTATTTACCCTCTGGCTGGATAAATACGGTAGGAATAGTGCAAATCATTTACTCTTAGAATTTAGTGGATGGTTGCAAACTGCTGTTTACCTATCTCAGTTTCCCTATTCCCCTTGCCCTGGCTTACTAGCCTGGATCATTTATATAACTTCCTTTTAACATTACTCTTTATAAACCTATAACCCTTACAAACCTTTCTACAACTTTCACAAACTTTTTTACCCACTCAGAAATAACCAACATTAGAACTCACTTTTTTCCTCCAAAATATATCTTCATGCCTTATACCTTCTATTTTCAAAACCATACCAATTCCTTTCCAATTAATTTTTAGAGAGAGTGGAAGGGAGGGAAAGAGAGAGAGAGAAACATCGATGTGAAAGAAACACATTGATCGGTTGCTTCCCACACAGGCCCCAACTAGTACCAGGGATCAAATCTGCAACCCAGGTACATCCCCTTGACTAGGAATCGAACCAGAGACCCTTTGGTCTGAAGCTCTAACTACTGAGCAATCAGTCAGGGCTCCAATTTGCATTTCTAACAGCTTATTTGCTTTTCCTACTTAGACATGTAATGGATTTATCAAACTTAACAAATCCAAATTCCTGCTCTCTCCCCTTCCCCCCTCCCCTGCAAACCAGTGCAACCCACACAGCTTTCCCCCCTCAGTAAATGGCAAACCCATTCTTTCAATGTTTGGAGCTAAAAGCCTTGATACCTCTCTTTTGCTAACAACCTACATTGAAACTGTCAGGAAATCCTGTTGGCTCTACCTTCTAAATATCCATCTCCATTGCTACACCATCATCTATCATCTCCTGAATTACTTCATTAGCCATTTAACTAGTCTCATGTGCTTCCACTCCTGCGCCACCCCTCCCCGCAGTCTATTCTCAACAGTAGCCAAAGTGATTCATTTAACATGTAAATCTAATCAGCTCATTCCTGTCTCTAAACCCTGTCATGACTCCCCATTTTACTCAGAGAAAAGCCAAAGTTCCCATAGTGGTTTGCAAGGTTCTTGAACACGATTTGCATCCCCCACCCACAAATGCCACTTACTCAGGGCAGCAAACTCTGACAGCCATAGCTACAACGGAAATGCCCTGCCCACTCCCATTCTGCTTACCTTTATTATTATTGCTTTATTATTTTCCTTTGAGCACTCATCATTTACTTATTAAATATGTTTTGTTTAATATCTATCTTTTCCTGCTAGAATATAAGCCTTTTAAAGACAAGAGATTTTACCTGTCTTGCTCACTGATGTGTCCCATGTATTTAGAATAGTGTCTGGCACATAGTAGGCGCTTAATAATTATGTTTTCATGAATGAATGAATTTATTCCAGATATCAATATAAACTCAGGAAAATACTTCCCAGAAAGAGGTGTTTTTTTTTTCATATCATGCTGTTCTCTACATATTTTTAATTGAGAAAAGCATTCATATGCAGAGTCTCCAAACCCAGACCATTTACTAAAACAGCACCTAGTAGTTTATGTGGTAAAATAAGAAACTTAGTGGAAAATATTACCTTTTTGCTAGTCCCCTAACAAACAAGAAAAGGAAAATAATATGAGTTAACAAACAAAAAAATTGCAAAATAATAATTCCAAAGTCTTAAATTTTATTCTTATTAAGGAAATAGTTAAGCAAAGTAACACAATAATGAAAATAAGTTAGAGCAGATTAAACATTCACTTCTTCGTAACATATTACTTTAAGACTGTCTTTTGTAAAGTTACGATGTATTATAATCTGGCTACAAGAAAGGGCTTAAGTGAAATGAAAGACTATAGATGTGACATAAAATAGCAAGTGGGAATTTTAATTATAGTTTTGCACATGCAAGTTGAATTGATACAAAAATCCCGAGAAAAAGCACCATAAAAGCAATTAGGCAATACTTTAAAACAAAACAAAACCAGCCCCCAAAGCAAACTGATTTGTTTGGTCATTTGAAAAGAGGACAGAAGAGGAATTGCAAAGAGGACGGAAGAGGAATTGCTATTTCCAAAGATGAATTGCACATTTAAACATCCACAGGGAACTCACTCATTAGGATGTCTCCTCCGAGGCCTGGCCTGTGGGAAGAGAAGATGAGCACAGCCAGAAACCTTAAATGTCAACATGAGGCTGAGCAGTGCCTGAGCCGGAGCGAGGAATGCAGAGGACAGGAAGAGAGAAGCCAGCCGTGAGGTTTTCTTACTGGGGGTGACATTCTAGCATTCTGGGTTGGAAAGACTATTGTGTTGGAGCCCTGTCTGCAGCTTCTGTCAGCTCTTCAAAACAGTGTGGCTGGGGATGATTTGAAAATAAGTTTAGATGGAGAGATTGTAATCATGGACTGCAAGTCAGCGTTTCCTTTTTTAATTTTTTTTTTATTTAATCCTCACCCAAGGATATTTTTTCCATTGACTTTTAGAGAGAGGGAAAGACAGAAATATCGATGTGTTTCGATTGGTTGCCTCCTGCATGGGCTCCGGAGGAGCCTGCAACCAAGGTACATTCCATTGATGGGAATCAAACCCTGGGCCCTTCAGTCTGCAGGCCTACACTCTATCCCAGCGGTTCTCAATCTGTGGGTTGTGACCCCTTTGGGGGTCGAACGACCCTTTTACAGGGGTCACCAAACACCATCGGAAAACACATATATAATTACATATTGCTTTTTTACGAAGATGGCGCCGAAAGCTAAGAAGGAAGCCCCTGCCCCTCCCAAAGCCGAAGCCAAAGCAAAGGCTTTGAAGGCAAAGAAAGCAGTGTTGAAAGGCGTCCACAGCCACAAAAAAAAGAAGATCCGCACGTCACCCACTTTCCGACGGCCAAAGACACTAAGGCTCCGGAGGCAGCCTAAATACCCTCGGAAGAGCGCACCCAGGAGAAACAAGCTTGACCACTATACCATCATCAAATTCCCCCTGACTACCGAGTCAGCCATGAAGAAGATAGAAGACAATAATACACTAGTGTTCATTGTGGATGTCAAGGCCAACAAGCACCAGATCAAACAGGCTGTGAAGAAGCTCTATGACATTGATGTGGCCAAGGTCAACACCCTGATCAGGCCTGATGGCGAGAAGAAGGCATATGTTCGACTGGCTCCTGACTATGATGCTTTGGATGTTGCCAACAAAATTGGAATCATCTAAACTGAGTCCAGCTGCCTAATTCTAAATATAAAAATTTTACACTGTAAAATAAAAAAAAAAAATTTACATATTGTTTTTGTGATTAATCACTATGCTTTAATGATGTTCAATTTGTAACAATGAAAATAATCCTGCATATCAGATATTTACATTATGATTCATAACAGTAGCAAAATTACAGTTATGAAGTAGCAACGAAAATAATTTTATGGTTGGGGGTCACCACAACGTGAGGAACTGTATGAAAGGGTCTAGGCATTAGGAAGGTTGAGAACCACTGCTCTATCCACTGAGCCAAACCGACTAGGGCAGTCAGCGTTGCTTAACACCAGCTGCTCCTTGGGCGAGGCAGATGTATAAGAGGAGGCAGCAGTCCCATCTCCGGTTCCTGATCATTCTGGAAGTCAGTGCAATTGCTCAGCCCAGGCAGGGAACAGGAGCCCAGGGGGAGCTGAGGCAATGAGCCTGCATCTGAATCTAAACCTGAGTACATGAAACTGGGTGACCAGGAACCTTCCCTTCCTGAGATTCTGTGACGTCCCCTCCCAATTGATCTCCATCGTACTAATACATAGCCCGTCTTGCTGCCTTCCTCATGAATGTTTGCCTCAGCTCCTACCATCTCTACTCCTTTCTCTCTTGCTAGTGGAGTAAGAGTTTTGTGAGCTGTGTTCATATCCTTTCTCTTTAGTGTGACACGTGGGTGACAACCTGTAGACCCACAACCTATATGTGTTTTAATTAACTGCAGAGGGTTTTCTAAAATAAATTTTCAGTTCACTGCCTATATTTAAGAACTAGTAACTGTCACATAAATATTCAGACGTCCAGCACTTTTAATAACCAGAAAGGACATCTAGTAAACCTGAAGAGCCAAATCCTGCTGGGGCTGAGTGGCTGCCGCCGCCTTTGAGCCAGGTCTCCCTGCAAGCTCACCAGGCCCCAGCCACTCCCTGGTTCCAAGCGGCGGGGCAGCTGCCCTTCATCATTGTGTGTGCACTATTGTCTTTTCCTCTGACAGAGAAATATTTCTTTGTACCATGTCATCATGTTTCCTACAACGTGCTTTACATTTCCTTACCTCAGCCCACATTGAATCCACCTATCTGGGACTCCAGACGTGTGAGGTTGTGATCCATGCTTTATGTTATCTGTCCCGTCCCACCCCCCCCCCCCGATCCCGCTCCCCCCCCCCCGCCCCCTGCCCATCAGGTTTTCAACAAGGAAACATCTAAATAGAATTCAAAAGTGAAATTCCTTTGGGAGCAGGAATACCTCCATAACATGCTACATAAAGGAGTTCTCAGGGCTGCCAACCTTACAGTAGAGGTTGAGTAGTAGTATATTTCTCCTACATAGAAGAAGAAGAAAGAAAGAAAGAAAAAAGTGAAGTTGTGGTCTGCCCTAACTGATTTGGCTCAGTGGATACGGCGTCGGCCTGCGGACTGAAGGGTCCTCGGTTCAATTCCTGTCAAGGGCACATGCTCGGGTTTCGGTCTTGATTCCCAGTAGGGGTCATGCAGGAGGCAGCCAATCAATGATTCTCTCTCATCATTGATGTTTCTCTCTCTCTCCCTCTCCTTTCCTCTCTGAAATCAAATATATATATATATATGAATGCTGTAAGCCCCAAACAACCCAGGGCAGTATATAATTATTATCAGGTGGTTAGACTGAGGAAGGCCTTCCAACCAGGACTCTGATATTCATACCTTATAAGTAATTACAAATAATTGTCACAGAAATTAGTCCTGAAGTAGTCCTGTGAGGTATATATTATTACCTCCATTTTTGTAAATGCAAAAGCCGAGGCACAGAGAAATGAAGGGATTTTCCCGTGGCCACCCAGCTAATGGAGGGTGGACCTGGGATCCCAGCCCAGATTTTTGAGGCCAACTTCAGTGCTCTTTATGGCACATCAAAGCTACTGCATTATCATTTTTAAAAATCAGTGTGCTGAGAAATCTTTAGAATGTTCTCAGTAACATTTTTCAATGACTCACACCAGATAGTGAAGAGAAATCTTGGAGTCATCTTTGACTCATACCCCTCCAGCACCCTTCCTTATCTATCATGGTGAATGCTTCTGTCTATGTATTCGTTTTTGTTTGTTTGTTAATCCTTATCTGAGGATGGATATATATATATATATATATATATATATATATATATATATATATATATATATAATTTCAGAGAGGAAGGGAGAGGGATAGAGAGTTAGAAACATCAATAATGAGAGATCAGCTGCCTCCTGCATGCCCCACACTGGGATCGAGCCTCAACCCTGGGCATACGTCCTGATCGAGAATAGAACTGTGACCTCCTGTTTCATAAGTTGACACTCAATCACTGAACCATGACAGCCCAGCCAAGGATATTTTTTTCTATCAAACCTGCAACCCAGATACATGCCCTTGACTGGGAATTGAACCTGCGACCCTTTGGTATGTGGGCCAATGCTCTGACCACTGAGTACACCAGCCAGGGCCCATCTATTTATTCTTTAAAACAACTATTTTACTCAAATATTTCTCTCCATTACCTCTTCCTCTCAAATCCATTGACTCACCCTTGAATTAGTATAATGGTCTCCAGCTGAGGCCCTTACATAACACTTTCTGTCCCTCCAACTTACATTTACAGGCAAAGTAGATGGTTTTGCAGTACAATTTTATGGTGCCAATGCTTGTCTCAGAAACTTGCAGTGATTTCTGAAGACATCCTATATAATAAAAGGCTAATATGCAAATTGTCCCCATGGGTAGGAGTTCGACCAACCAGGAGTTAGACATGCGCTGACCACCAGGGGGCAGCGCGGAACATGGCGGGCTTTGGCAACACCACGCTGGCAGTGGGCGGCAGTGGAGGTGCTGCCAGCCCCGATGGGCCCCAACAAGAGTGGGACTGTGGTGGGATGGTGGAGCAAGTGAGCAGGCAGCACCAGGCCAAGGCCAGTGCGAGCGGGGGCCCGGATCACCCCACCGGTCGCCCCACAGAGCAATCCTGATCTCTGGCCAGGCCTAGGGACCCTACCTGTGTATGAATTTCATGCACTGGGCCTCTAGTTAGCTATAAACCACTGGGTCTGACATTCAAAGTCTGTCCTTGTAGCTCTGATATTGTTCCCAATATCTGCTGTTCTTCTCTGTGTGAGAATCATACTTGCCCAACCAGTGACCTCAGGCTTGTCTGTATGACTTGCTTTGGCCAATGAAATGTGAACAACATGGACCACTTCTAAGGAAGAGCCTAAGAGCCATTGTGGGTTCTCATCATCTGTCTTTCCTCTTTCCCTGGAAAATGGTAATGTGCCAAGTGAGAGCAGTTCCTCAGCCTGGATCTTGGGATGCAGGAAATGTGGAACGGGGTTACAACCAGCAGGGAAGCTGGTCCCAGGGCAATGCGAACCTGTGGGAGGAGACTCCCTCCCCTCGCCTGTTCATCGGAGATGACAGATATACCGTGAGTGAGAAGTCAGCCTTTACTGTTGTAGCCACTGAGAGTTTGAAGGTGTTTATCATAGCGTAACCCAGAGAAAGCTGACTAGTACGGCCTCCATAGTCTTTTTCCTCAATTCCACACACTATGTTCCTGGACTCTGTACTGGGGTATATGCTGCCCACAGCTTTTCTCACTGAATTAGAGCCACTCAACTTAGACCTATCATTTTGTTTGGTATCAACTCAGTTCCAGAAGATGAGTTCAAATTAGAGATCGCTGGCTCTACCCAAGTTCTCTAGGGTAGGGCAAGACGAAATCTACAACTTTTTAGATTTTCTGCTAGTACACACAATGGAATGATCATACAACCCGACCCTTCATACCAAATAGTTGGTGCACTGATCAAACAGAGCAGTGCCCTTAAATGTCTACTAGTAGCTATCCAAGATTACATATGGGGTAGTAAGCTTCAGAACCCACAACTTCTTTCTTAGAAGTGAGCAGTGATTTGCTCAAAGTTGGGTGATTTCTATGACTTCTTGAACTCTAGCTGCTGACCCGGTGGCTGTTTTGAGTACTGTGGTGTCCTTAGTTTGGATAACAGCATCAGCAGTGGCTGCACTGAAATATGATCTCGCTCCAGGAAGAAACCCCCAGAAGGCTGATCCAAAGGTCCCATCTCATAAAGAACTTGTTTTCCTCACGCTCACTTTTTGTTTCCTCACTGCCTGCCAACCTTTCCTCTTCACCTCTGTGAATCTGACCTAGTCCCTAGACTTGCCTTTATCATGAAGCCTCCCACCTTTCAGGACACCTGGATAGAGGGTGGCAAGTGCCCAGGTGGCACAATAGAGCACTGTGGTGCCAGGGGCCTGGCTAAACCCTAAGGTAACTGTCTCTCTCATAAGTACTCTAGGGCTAGGTGCACCACGGGAAATGGAATCGGGCATCAGAAAGCCAACACTGGCATCAAGCTGTAGACCGGAGGCAGACTCATTGACTAGAACAGGATAAAATAATGATGAGAACAAGTGCAAGGTGGGTGGGGTTTAGCAGTTGAGACACCAGTTCTGCAAACCCTGGGATTGAGGCAGATCATTTCTCTCTGTGGAGCCTAGAGGTGTGACAAGGTGAGGCAGCTCCTTCAAGCGTCTTTCATACCTACTCTAGTCCTCATGGAAAACCCTCGAATGGCAGGGAAAGGGTGAATGCCGGCCACGGGACCAAACCCTCTAGGTCTGCCCTGGCTCATGAAAGAGGGCTCTGAGGTCATGCCAGGTAGCATGGACACCTGCTGGGTGTCCCTGACAAGGGCAGCCAGGAAGGAGGAGAGAAGTCACAAGCTGGGATGGAGGGGCAGGGGGTTGGGGCTGGAAGAGCAGAGAACCCAAGACAAAGGCAGGAAGGAGTGTGGGATTGAGGAGATGAGAAAGGGGGTGGGCCTTTCAGAGAACAGACAAAGTAGAACAAGGTATGGGTGCAAAATGGGGTCAGGAACAACTCAAAAAAAGGGGTAATGACAGCTATTTGACTTTTAAGCATGAATTTAGGATCATTCTCTTGGTTGTAAGGGTGGGTAGGACTCAAAGAGCCAAGCTCTGACAC